TAATCCTTGATCTGTACAAGCCCCCGTAGCTTGAAACATCAAGGATTGAACCACGTTCTATTTGAATTAACAGCAAACTGTTTAATACGAACTCAGAAACATTGAACCAAAATGTTTATTTTATTTTTATATTTGAATAAATTCCATAGTTTATAAAGACAGTATGCATCTGATATTTCTATACTTTATACAGAGCGGTATAAAAACACAAAGGATAACAATTGAGGAACAGGACTCTGCAGGGGCATCAGCCAAATGCAAATCACACGAATACGTTAGCCGAACGTGTTTAGTCCCCCAACATTTCATTTGGACCTGGATTTGAAAATGGAGGGGAGTGCCCGAGTGTCATGGACAACCTCGAAAAAACAGACTATAAATTTATTGTTAACGTGGCTCATGCAAATTGAATCCATTCGCTTGTCCTTGTCGACTGTCCAGACCGGTTGTGGTTCTGGCTTTCGATTTACATTTCTTGGCCAGAAAAGGGGGGAATAAAACTGTTTTGCTACTTAATAGGCCACGCTCGTCGTTATCTGGGCGGTTGGGATTAAATGTGACTGCTAAATTCGAGGTACCCAGCACAGCAATAATCGTATTTTAAGGATGAACAATTGACTGGGAATGTATTTCGGGGGTCTTACAATTTAAATTATTAATTGCGGAATAGAGGACACTTTGGTAAAACAGAATAAGTAAAATAGTATAGTAATTTAACTACTAAAATTCCACATAAAATTAAATTTTATCTATAGGATTGTATTTTTTAAGTCCATAGTTCGCTTAGCCTGGTCCCATTAGTTATCCTTATTTTTTACTCGTATTTACATAATTTTAAAGTGACATCAATCATTGTAAACCTTTTTTCAGCAATTACAATGTAGTTAGCTTAGTAAAACAGGCACTAAAACTAAGCAAAATAAATCCAGTATTTACCTTAGAGCCACGCGCTACATAAATACGAACAAAATGGCACTCATACCCGCCTAAAAATATACCAATAGATGTAACTTTGATTGCCTGATCAGAAATTCAGCACTGGCATGGGCTATTGAATAAGATTTTTATATGACAACAACACGTGACCGAATAGAACATTTTTGCCGCCCGAAAATTGTGTTGTTATCCATCAAAAACGTGTCGATGATTTCCCAAAACGAAAGAGTGCAAATCTCTAGAAACGTGGCCTGCCTCACATTATCCCAGAAATTAACATTCTATGTGGCCGGGGCCCGCACTTGCCATTTGCCATCCAGTAGCCAATTTTAATGGCAGTCGCAGCACAATTGAATTAAATTATCAATCGATGGCCCGGGCACAAGGGTCGAGACCAGGCAGCAAAATAGGAGGAGGACCAAAAAAAAAAGGACAGCACAATCAAATTGATTGTATTTACTTTGACACCAAAGCCAACAACATCCACAACGGTCACACCTCCTCAACGAACCCCCCGAACATTTTTGGAACATGGGTTGGGTTTGGGTTTTTGTTTTTTGCCGCCTCGATTTGACTTAAATACGGTTTTTGGCTCGTTAAGTGTAACTAACAAGTTGCCTTCGCTGGATTGTTGTGGACGCCTTTATTGTTTGCCATCTTGTTTCAGCCTCCTTTTTTCTGGTTTTTTCTCTTGTTTTGTTTTCCACCAACTTGAGGAAGTAGAAGGGGGAGAAGTACATTGATTGGCCTTCTGTTGGGCGCCAATCTTTAAGGCAGAAGATCGAATTTAAATGTGCCACTAGTGGCATGTGGTGGGTTCATAAAAAACCTTTGAATAAAATAATTTATAGAGACTTTTGATTTAAATGAAACTAAAGTTTTTTACTAAAGTTTATCACTTAAGCTTATAAGTAATCAGATGAAATATTTGGTTTTTTATTATTCTGTTTAAAAAGTTAAGTTATAATCTCTTAAAATCTCTTTGAATCACACATTGGATCTACAATAAACACATTAACATGCCAAAAAAAACTGTGATAAAGGGATAATGGTAAATATTTGGTTAATTTTATCATTCTGCTTACAAAATTAAATTTTTAATCCCTTTAGATTATACCTTGAATCTACGAAAATCGTTTCAGGATGATATTTTTGATTTTTTATCAAAAATATGAATCATTAAGCAAGTGCCAATTGGAAGACGATTCAGATTTTTCCCCCAACCTTTTTATGGGTCCTCAGAATGTGACAACCATCACGTTATGGCCACAGACAATTTTTTAAAGCGGCACAAGAAAAACAAGCAAAAGATATAGCAGTAAAAAATAAAATAAAATGCATACACCATAAATAAATAAAAACATAAAATAATCATGTCACGTGCGAATTGATTGAATTTCTTCCTCGGGCGCCTTTTGTTGCGTTTCGTACGCACACTTTTTGGTCAACACTGCCCTTGGCAGAAACACCAACCCAAAATGTGGATGTACCCGTTCCTTATAGATGAAAACCCCCCTTTGGACCAATGTCGTTTCATTTAATGGCCACAGACAAAAGGTATTTAATTTAATGCCCTCGCCACTTGGCCAGGTAATTTGAGCTATGAGCACTTCGCGTACACTGACAAAATATAGCCAAAAAAAAAAAAGGTGCTAAATCGACCTGGAAAAACGCTCAACGAAATTGAAAAGCCAAGAATGCCAATATTCATGCGAGTCACAACGCAAAATGCAGCGGGCAATCGGAACAGAACCGCGGCTTAGATCGTGACAAAAAAGCCAAAATCCTGCTGGCCATATATGGCTCTTAAGTCATAAAAAAGAGGAATTGAAAGCTGCCATCAGGCTGACAGCAGCAAAATGTTTTCAGACGAAATTTTCCAAAAATTATCTTTCACTTTTTTGTTGGGATTCGGTTTTGTTTGCGTTCGCTTCGAGAGAAATCTGGCCGACAGTGCAGTGCAAAAATGTTTCAAGTCAGCGTGCACACAAAGACCCAAAAAAAAAGGGGATTCACCCACACACACAGCCGCATACAAAATCACACACAGATACCCATGCGTACGCACACAAACACACCCACGAGGATCCATTGTTTCACTTGCGTTGAAGGTGTCATCATATTTTTTCAATTTCATGGTTATTTTTTCATTCATTCGTTGCCTTTGCCAGTGCCTCATGCCACTGAAATATGTGCAAATGAAAGTGTTTGGTTTAAATGTTTAGTCCTGGTCCTAAAGAATATTCCCCTAAACGATTTTGCTAAAAACGTAGAACTTAGTTTTTAAAAGCTTAAAGTTGTTTTTAAAGTATTTATGTTTTAATGATACATCGGTTTACGTTTCTTTGAAATTATTAAAATAAATAAATTAAAATAAATAGAAAATACAAAATTCTGGCGATTATCAATTAAAAAAAAATGTACTATAAATTACAAAAATGACTTTAAGGAATAAAAACTTTAAAAAATTAATAAATAATAATTATAATAAAAATTAAAAATAAGTCTTATTTTTCAATTTGTAACTTTTATAAATATTGAAAATAACTCTTATTCTCCAATTTTTGTTAAATAAATTGAAAATAAAACTAAATGGAAATATCTTTTACTACAAAAATATAAACACATTTATGATCTCCGAGCAAATACAACATTTTTTTAAATTAGAAAACCTAGAGTCGAAAGCGTTATTTTTGTAACCGTTCCAGTGGCTTCCGCAAAAAAGCCTATATGAAAAAGAAAATATATCTAATTTTGGGTATAGGGTATAGCTGGGGTATAGGGTGTGGTTGGAAAACTCATCGGCCCTCAAAAAATAGAAAAACGCACCGAAAAGTCAGCAAAAATATGCGCGCGTGTTTGTAAGAGCGGGGAAAAAGCGAAGCTGAAAGAATGATTGTTGCAGTTTATGGGAAAAACTCCAGCCGAGCTTCAGTTCTCGGGGATGCCTGGGAAAAGTGGCTGGATGTGTGGAGAGGAGAAAGTAGGCGACACTCACGCAGGGATGGAGAAACTAAAAATGCGTCCACTTGCAGTGAAAGCACGAAAAACTCGTTACAAAAACCGTTAGTTTTTCAATTATAGCGCGTAGATTAGTATTTGAAAGCAATGCCTGGTGTCTGTGTGCGTAAATCCCCCTTTCACTTGCTTTCTTTTCTCTCTCTCTCTCTCTCTCTATCTGAGCCATTATTGGATTTTGGCTCGCTACTGGCCATTTTCTGAAGGTGGGGATGAAGACGAAAAAAAAGGGAAAACTTTCCTGACAGCAGCACAATAACTTTTGAATAAGAAAAACGTGCAACGCTTCAGAAAGGAGACGCAGGAAGTGTGGGCGGAATATTCGCATCAGGACCGGACTAAAGAGGTTCGAGGTTGATCCAATACAGTGACAACAAACGACGGAAGAGAACTTTTGCAGCTGCAATTTTCTATTCAACTTGAAGCTTTCTCTCCATCAGGCGAGGGGACAATCAGTTTAGGAAGTTAGCAGTTTTTATGAAATGCCCTCTGCCCCTGCTTCCGCTTATTTTTCCCATCCTCTTTCCCGTCTTAACTCCTTCCGTTTTGGGCTTGTGAGAGCTTTTGCTAATTTTACAACGCACATTACGTATACGACGTGGTGGAAGCTGCACATTTTTGCCAGGAATAACAGTCAGCCAGGTGGCTCATAGAGATGCCAAGCTGGGCTTTTTGGTTAGAAAAAAAAAACAATTTGAAAATATAATAACAATGTTAAAATGTATATGTACCTCCACAAAATTGAACTTCTTAAATTTACTGAGTTCCTTCCCTTTTTAAAATTGACGAGTATTTTTAAAAATATCGTATTGGTGTTATTTATTTATTTGTGCTCTCCCACAAAGTCCCAAAAGGGTCTTCTAAATTATCGTCGTCTGGAGACTGTACAAGAATTTAATGTGACTAACTCAAAAATATTAAAAACAATATCAATATATAAAAATACCCCTAATATAAAAACATCGATATTTCGATAAATTATCAACAACCCTGCGATGTATCTTGATGTTTTTTTAAGAATTCGATAGTTCCTGCTGAGAGTAATTAATCATACATTTGACATCTCTACTTGCTTGAAACAATAAGTATTCATAACTACTAATAGAAAAAACTAGAAAATAATGGAAGATTTTTTAGGAGAGGAAGAGGAGGCGATCCCGCGAAATAGGAGAATCACCAAGATGAAACGTGCTGATTTGATCGCTGAACTTCGCCACGAGCAAAGAAGAATCCAGGCGATGGTCAAGCGGCGGGACGAGACTAAAGCTGCCCTGCGGCAGTGCAACATACAGCTGACGGACACCAGGCGCATTTCGGAGGAGAGGGAGCGGGAATTGGCCAACGAGAGGAATGCCCTGCTGCAGACGCTGCAACAGAAAATGTCCAAAAACGAAATGCAGGGTCAACAAATCCTGGAGCAGGATCAATCCAAGAATGCCATTGTGCAGAGCATCCTGCAAGATATCGAAGCCAAGGAGACGCACCTCAACTTGGAGATCGGTGTGATGGCCAATCAGCGGGATGATTTGCACCAGGAAATGCAAGGGGTGAAAGCAGAGCTAAGCAGGATCCACGAGGAGAACAGCTGTTCGATTTGTCTCTCGCCCTGGGAGGCCGAAGGCCCTCATCGCATTGTGTCCCTGAAGTGCGGCCATCTTTTCGGGGACTGCTGCATCCGCCAGCACCTGGTTCACAGGACAGACTGCGGCCTCTGCAAGCAGCCAGTGAGTCATCAAGATCTCCGCTATCTCTTCGGCTTCCCTGTCCTGGTGGCTACCCAGCCTGCTCCGTTGGGACAAGCTGCTCCTTGATCCTTTGATCCTTTGATCATAACCATAAACTATTTGTTTTAAAGGTATGAAAATATTCACTTTGATATTCAAGCGGCTAGAAGAGCTCGATTAGCGCTTCAGCCTGTTCTGGGTCACAGGAAAGACTGCGGCATCTGCAAGCAGCCAGTGAGTCATCAGGATCTCCGCTATCTCTTCGGCTTCCCTGTCAAGCTGCTCCTTGATCCTTTGATCCTTTGATCAAAGGATCAAAGGATCAAGGAGCAGCTTGTCCCAACGGAGCAGGCTGGGTAGCCACCAGGACAGGGAAGCCGAAGAGATAGCGGAGATCTTGATGACTCACTGGCTGCTTGCAGAGGCCGCAGTCTGTCCTGTGAACCAGAACAGGCTGAAGCGCTAATCGAGCTCTTCTAGCCGCTTGAATATCAAAGTGAATATTTTCATACCTTTAAAAGAAATAGTTTATGGTTATTGTATACTTTTCTTGAAAATTCAAAAGTACAGCTTAAGTTTTATTGTTTATTATTAAACATGTTATGGTTTTTTTTATCATAAGCTGATATAGCCCAGGGAATATATTTTCTAAACAGTAATAACTTATCAAATTGTGAAGAGAACGGAAAATAATGGTATAAAACCAATGACAAAAGCCAGAGTTATGTGAACGCCTTGAAAAAATCGTCATCCACAAACGCGAAAGCAAAAAAGAACTGCTGTGACTACAAAGACTCGTGAAAGGCTTCTCCATTCGCACGCCGGCACTCAGTATATCACATTGCCATCTCTGAATTCCCGGCCAAGCCATCGCCTTGATTTTCTTTTATGGGTTTTCATTGTTGGCCAGGTCCGCGAGCAATCCCCTTTTGTAGCGTCTTTAGCGCTGCAGCAGCGTCGTTTTATTGTTGAATGAACGGACTTACGTGTGAACTAGTAGGCGACAACAACTTATGCCATTTCCGTTTCCGCTCGCATCGCCATTCAGCGCAAAAGGCAGGAATGGCAATGGAAATAGTGGCTGAGGCAGAGCAGCCAAGAAACAGGAACACAATTGTGAGGTCATGTATGTGACAAACAATAAAGACGATAACTTAGTGCATGCAACACAACGGGGCGGAAACGGAACTGCAACTGCAACTGCCTTGCCTCTCCAAGGATTCCTGCGTAGGTGTGAGGTGTGTGTGTGTGTGTTGGTGTGTGCTTGTTGTTGTTGCTTAAAAAATAGAATTAAGTTTTTCGTAAACTTGCACTTAATGCGCCCCTTTCTGGCTTTGCTTGGTTTGAAAGTTTGAAAATATATATTTGAAAAGCAAAGTTTATGCTCGTGTTGAAAGAGAATATGTCTGGCGTCTTTTGTATACACACAAGGTGTCCCGCCGGCAGCACAAAGCACATAGCACCAGCTGCCAGTTGCATGGGTTGCAGGGTTCTGGTCCTGGTCCTGGAAGTCCTGGAGGTCCTGCGACGGCAGTACCACGGAAAGTTTTGTTTGCCCTGACACTTAAAAAGTCGTAAAATGCACATTCAGCATAAAAACCACTGTTGGAAATTATGGCCACACTGCATATCATACCCACCAATACCCATATTCTATTGCCCCATCCCATCTTTGCCATCCACTGTTGCCTTTTGTATCATATTTTCCAGTTTGAAGTTGCCCGAGCTGCGGCTGCTTTTATCTTTAATGCATTCTACGTGCAGCATTCGCACTTGCAGCACATACATTTAGTACAATGGAGTTGGGGCGTATGTCTCTGCTTCGTGTTTATTGAATGAAAAGTTAAAACCATTCACTTGGCACTGATTTTAAATTGGGATTTATGACTTCGCCGGAGAGTATTGAAAGAAATCTGTAAATTAATATAATCACTTGTGCTACTGCAAGAAATGCGATCATATTATATAGTCTATCAACATGATAATCTAGGATATGGTATCAAAAGGAGATGTTTTTGTGATTTTATTTTAAAAGGAATACTACGATTTTAGATTTTTAAAGTCATAGATAACGCTATTTTTACTTTTAACCACAAAGTATAGTAAACCGTCAATTAATTCTATATATACGCCTAACTAAAGTGTTTAAACATCAGCCTACTTGGTTAAAAAAAGAAATAAAATAATAATAATTATACAAAAATAAATGGAAATCATATTTATACATATAAACAATCATCTTTCCATTCCTGTTAGCAATATTTCAGAAAAACAACAATTTTATTCCTTAATATAAAAAAAAAAAATATTTATTACTACAAAAATTGAAAGATTAGCAAATATTTCTGGGATTTATGCATTTCATAGAATTTTTGAGTTTAAAATAAAATACAAACGAACGTTTTTCTTTAATTGTACTGATAAGCTTATCGCTTTTTGTAAATTTATATATATTTACTCAGAGGCTGGCAGCTAAGAGTCTCAGTTCTTAAGTATACCCCGACTGAGTATAATCGAAACGGAATGTCTACCACTTCGGTGATTTTGATGAGCTTCTTTGTGAGTGCCACCGTGGCCTTGGTTTTTCCAGAACAACATTGCCCCGAATATTTTACGTATGGCATGGAAAAAAACGGGAGTTATATAGGTGTTTTCACGGCGAATGAAGCAGGCCATAATTTACTGCAATTTAAAGCGACATTTGCGTGGAAAAAAGTGAGTGGAAAACAAAGACATATCATAATGCATATATATAAAAATAAATAATAAACTGTCTTCTGTTTTAGTTTAATTATCCTCTGATATCGGATATGGAGGCGTATCCCAGCTACAATGAAGCCATCGCAAATATTAACAAGGGACTTCTCGGCCAGACGTTTGTTCGATTCATAAATATTGGTGATACGCTGCCTACACTTACTAAATTCTACCTTAACAATGAGTTACTGTGCAACTCAACGATAAGTGAGTACAACTTAAGATTCATATATAAATTAGTGAACTTATTTTGACATTCTATTTGCAGAAAATGCTTGGAAGCGGCATTATACGAAAACAGCTTCATTTACATTAACCACCGTAGAAAATATACGAAAAGTCAAGAACACTCGGCCGAAAATGCATCCAAGCTTACCGCTAATAAAACCCAGAGTATTTATATAATTTACTTACATCACAAATTAAAGTTTTATAAACATTCGAATAAAATTGAATTTTTGAAAAAAAAATTGAGTTAATTAAAAAACAACGTTTTTAAATGTAAGAATAAAAAACAAAAAACCGCTTTAGGAACCAGATAAGCTTGAAAAAGACTTTCCGTTCATGAGAAAGTTAAGGACAGTCATTCAAGAGGAAGATGGCCAAAAACAAGATGTACCAGAACCGCAAAAGGAAAAGAACCAACTAAGAAACACAGAGCAGGCCACTAGGAAACCACCTACTTTGTATCAACAGATAAAAGTAAAGTTTTTCAACATCATTTACTCAGAACCAGAATCGTAGCCGCCGTGGAGTTGGAGTCTCACTTAATTCCTTGCTCGAGAGGTGAATTTCCCCGGAAAACCTAAAACAAAATACATAAAAGTGTCTTCTTAATTCTTTTTGGGGTGGAAGCTTCCCTCGACTGCGGTTAAAAATGTTGTAGAGAAGTACAACCTGTTGTCGGAGTTCAACTGGCAGCGGAAACTTTTTTAATACGTTACGAAACCTCGGCTGCCCCCTGCTGCTCCGTTTATCACCCTCCTCCGAACTTGTTTCACTTCGGGCTCCATTAAGGTAACGAAAACTTTACTTTCGACTGCTGTCTAACGGTAATGCTGGGGCATAAACCATGATTGAAAGGTGCAGACATACCTCCCTCCCTTTTTTTTGTGGGATGTATAAATATTTTGCCCTCGGGTCAATGTTTCCCGCTTCCTTCCTCACTTACCGCCCATTCCGCGCTTGTTATTGTTATTACGCCCGATATTAGCAGGACATTATTGAAATTATTTACCTTTCCAACCCGCCCAAGCACGTTCTATGGCTCCCCGGCTCTTGGTTTCGCCCCCAACTGCCGTCGAAAAAGTTGCATAAATTGTTTTGTTATTAATCCCAGGCCGGGCCATTGAGCGCTGAAACGACTGACAGGTGTTTAAATTTCAAAACTTTTAATGGCAGCGGCAGCCACAGCAATGATTATTATTATTATAATTATAATGGATAACAATAAGTTTTGATTGGATGATTATTAAAATAACTTAGGGAGAGGAAATCAATGGGAAATTAAGCTAAAATGTGTAGACAATGTGACACAATAGAGTCAATCAAGGGAATATAATTGGCTTTAAGTAAATGAATTTATACTTAATTGACAAGATTTGGCATTTACAAAATAAAAAGTCAAGCAAATGAAAATATGTTTTCATTAATGATATGGAATATTTTAGTGGACTCAACTGCGGAGAAAAAACTTATGCTAATAGGTTCGCACAAAAAAATAGAGTGACCAAATGAATGAAATTAATAATGTTAAGAACTAAGCATGTCACCACACATTTTTACTATATTTAGAGAATAGTTCTTAAGATTATACAATTTCCTTGAATTCGTATAAATATAATTTGTTCACAGAGAAAATTCTTACGTTCTCATTTGAGTTAAAAATGTTCTTAAAAACAGAAAGACATTTTTGAAGTTGAAAATGTTTTCATTTTGCTCGAATCAAGTTGAATTGGCGGTACTTACATTGTATATCTCAACAAATAAACTATTATTTCACTCCGTAGTTTATACTTATCAAAAAGTTGTTAAGTAAACCCAATTTAACTTTTCTCTCTCACCATTTCGATCTAATATTGAGAACATTGATACCAAAATGTACTCTCACTGTTTTTAAGAACGAATGTTCTCAATTCAAGAACAATTTTCTTGGGAATTTCTCTCCCTTTGTTATTATAAGCTTATAAACTACCTTAAAAACTTCAAATTAATCAGTAATTTCTCTTTCAAAACTCTGAATTTCTTTAGGGCGTGCAATTAATAATTTTCATTTGTCACCGGGCTCTGTGCCCCTTTCTCACTATCAACTTTCAATGGACTCCTTAAGC